GCCTCCTCTGGTATGTGTGTTGTAAGTAGAGTAGGCCTCTCAGAGGGGCGGGGGGGTGCTGGTGGCAGGGTGTGTGACAGGGTGTGTGTGTGTGTGAGCTGCAAAGTGCAGTGGGTTATTGGCGCACTTTTATGACCGGCACAAAAATAGCTTGTCGCACGATTTCTGTCGCCTTTCTCATGCCTCATTTGGTGCTGCTCTCGACCTTTGTCCCCTTCCCCCCCACCCCCTATCCCTCTCGACTGTCCCCTTTCCATAGCCAGCCATAGCCGTCTCTTATCGTTGTGCTCCTTTTTGCAGGACATTTTCACAATGAAAAGTGTCACAAGTTGGGCGGATGGCCCCCCCAGGCAGCTGCTGCCTGGGTCCACAGTGCACTTTATTCAATTAAAAAATATCGAGAGCGGGGGTACTTGAGGAGGGACAGCGGAGGCTCCTTCGACATGCAAATTGTTGTAAATGTCGGCCCAAAGGCAAATTGTCCAACCAATTATGATTGTCATGAGGCAAGACGGCTAATGGGAGGCGCAGGCGGAGAAGAATGAAGGCCTCAGTGGGCACAAGAGGCTGTGGGGGGCATACTGGGGCACGGGCGGAGGTAAAAAAGGTCTCCAAAGGTTTTGCGGATTGTGGATCGATTGTGGGAGACACACTGACACAGTTTTTCCCCTCGCAGCTTAAGGAAAATGAAAGGAAAATTGAGAAATCCAAAGGAAAAATACCTTTAAACCAAATCTTTGAATACAGATATTTTGTACTTTTCTGTCAATAGCTTTGCCCTCAGAAATCAGATTTTCCCAGATATCCCAAAATATGGATTGGTTTAACAATATTTGCAGACAGTGCCGCCTGAGGTTCACATCTTCCGCCAGCATTGATCTCAAGAGTGCGGCGGATACGTACAATACCATTCGCAGTAGAGATGCTGCCGAAGAGGAGGACTGCTGGTGGAAAGTGCCCATGTTTCTATTGATCTGTGGCTGCGTTATCATTCTCTTGTTGGCATGCAGCAACCTCTGTGAATATCTTGCGTGGCTGATGAGAAATTTCAAGGTCCCAGATCTAGTCTCCGATGTCTGCGATTTCGAAGAGTCCAACCGGTGCCGGGAACCGCCCGTAGCATCAGTGAGAGCACCTCTGAGAAAGCAAGAAAAGAAGGAGAAGTGCTGCTCTTGTTGTGGTTAAAAGAAGAAACATCAACAAATTACAAAAATTATAATTTTTTAAAATTAAAAAAAAAAGTTTATTTTAAAAAACCATTAATTAAAAAGTTTATTAACAAAAAAATTTAAAAAATAAGAAAATAAATAGAATATTAAAAATAAAATTTATATAAAATAGAATATATATCAAATAAAATATATAAAAAATAAAGTATATACAAAATAAAATATATAAAAAACAAAGTATATAACAAATGAAATTTATAAAAAATAAATAAAAAAAAATTACCAAAAAACAGCTGCTGACAAAAACAAAAATATTAAAACGAAAAATAAATGAAAAAATATTTTAAAAATAATTAAATTATAAAAAAATGAAAAATGCAATTAAAATGAAAAAAAGGCAAAATAAAAATGCATATTTTCTATAAATCAAAATGAGGTTTTTAAACAAATTTTCTCCACGAATTCAGTACAAACGAGGGGGAACGTTGTGAGTTGCTGCGGACACCGCAACTCTACGGTTATACCCGATACTAAGTCAGTATGGCTCTCCTCCGGCAGACGCCGCTAATATTTAACGACACGACAAAGAGTGCGTGCGAGAGAGACAGAAAATCAGTCTGAGCGTGACGTCGGGCGCTGCGTAGCCACTGCAAATTGATTTGTTCCTTTTGGCTATAAAAATGATCTGATCTGATCCAGATTCAGCAATCTAATAGATATGGTCATTATCTATGATTCTGCGTTTTTAGTTTTCTCAAATCTGCAATATTGTGGATGCAACAGATTTTCGTCCTTTGTGGGGGCGGATGGGGGGGGGGCGAAATTCTGAGATATACGTTTTATAGTGACATCTTAAAGGAGTGTGTGCACCAAATTTGGTTACTCTAGCCTTAATAGTCTCTGAGATTTGTGGTTGCCTCAGATTTTCGTCCTTTGCGGGGGCGGAAGGGGGTGTGGCGAAATTTGGACAGGAAACGGTCAAGGTCCGATATCACAGGAGTGTGGATACCAAATTTGGTTGCTCTGGCTTTTATAGGTTCTGAGATCCTTGAACTCATATTTTGCAATTGGCAAAACCGACCATGAAACCTGTGTGTTAGAGTGAGACAGAGCGAGAAAGAGTGAAATTGTTTTCGTGATTCTGGCTGTAATAATTATACGATCTGGTTCAGATTTTGCACTCTAGAAGATATAGTCATCTTCTACGATTCTGCGTTTTTAGTTTTCTCGTATCGTCGAAATTGTGGATGCCACAGATTTTCGCCCTTTGTGGGGGCGGAAGTGGGCGGGGCAAAGTTTTGAAATATTTTTGGAGCAGTGACATATTACAGAAGTCTGGATCCAAAACATCGTTGCTCTAGCTCTTATAGTCTTTGAGCATTAGGCGCTGAAGGGGACGGACAGACGGACAGACGGACGGACGGACAGACGGACAGACAGACAGGGCTCAATCGACTCGGCTATTGATGCTGATCAAGAATATATATACTTTATAGGGTCGGAAACGATTCCTTCTGGACGTTACACACATCCACTTTTACCACAAATCTAATATACCCCAATACTCATTTTGAGTATCGGGTATAAAAACCAGATCCCGAAGGCCTGAAAAAAATAAACCAAATAGTCATTATAATGGAACCAACAGGATGTTTATCAATGTAAATGTGCTACCTGTTCCCGTTCTACCAATCCTGATAGGAATCCACGGAAATTTGTGTCAAGGTCAACAGCTGTCAACCCTTTTCCCCCCCTTGAGAGTCTTTTTGTAACTGGAAGACAATAAAATGACTGTGGCTGCAGGTCTGTGAAGTGTATCTGCCACAGAAACTTGCATCTTTGCATCTGTAAAAGTATCTGTTTCTTTTGTTTCCTCTGTTTGTTAATTAATATTGAAAAAGCAACCCAAAAGTTTAGTCATGCAACACACGACTTGCACGTCGGGTACTTTTTGCACTGGCAGCTTGCAGCAGCGCTACTCTTGCCTCATCTAACCTTCATCTCCATTTCAGGCCCCGAGACTCTAGAGTCTAGAGTGAGAGTCTCTTCTGGTGTTTTCCGGTGCTTCCTTCGTGCATCAATTAGTGGTTTCATGTTTGCGGATGACAGGCAAAAGTTGCACTCAACAGATTTACACGTACATATATCAGAGATTGCCTCCGTGTGTGTGTGTGTGTGTTGCATGTTGCATGTTGTATGCCCTGGCACTCAAGGATTATACATTTTATGCGCCTCTCCGTCGTTCATCAACGTCTTGGCTGTGTTCTGTCTTCATCTTTGGGTTTTCTTTGCCAGCTTTTAGTTTTCGTGCTTCTTTTTCCTTGGGTTCTTTTGCCACCTGGTGTTGCAACACTGCCTGTCTGTCTGAGACACGAGTGAGTGTCAAATGAGTAATGCAAATTGCAATCCACAGAGCTCCGAAAGGAGCTGCTGCTGCCAAAGGATATCCGCCACTAAAAGGAGTCTCGTCTCGTCTCGTCTGCCGTCGAAGGGTAACCTGCCAGACATTTGCATATGTACGAGTATGTCTCTGGCTTTGATTCTGTTTCTGTTTCAATTGCAGTTCTCTTCAGTTAGTTAGTCACTCACTTTGTTGCAGGATGGCAGGCGGCAGGCAGCAGGCAGCAGGCAGGCTCGAAGCAGCGGCGTTTTGCAGCTGTCATGCATATGGAAGTAGGTCGTAAATCTCTGCCACTTTTGGGGGCTTATGCCGTGCCACGCCACGCCAGTATGTTGCAACTGCTTTTGCATATTTGATGAGTGAATGGAGGGGGGTAGCTGGGGCAGCGGGGGCAGGAGGGGCGGCTGTATCGTGTGATTAATAACTGCAAATTGCCATAATACTCCTCCGTACTCCTCCTATGATTTGTTGAGTGCCGCCGCCCTGCCTCATCGAGTCACACACACACACACACACACACACACACGGGAAAATGGCATTGCGAGAGCTCTGTGGAAAATATGAGAGGGCTGTGATTTAAGGGCGAATAATTTTCCTGATGGAAACTAGTGGCTTTTCACATGATTTTTTTCTTACTTCTTACAGGGAACCTATCCACACACTTAGAGAAAAGATTTCAACCATATTTCAATTAAAAATTCTGCCTTTAAATGCAAAACGTTGAGAAATTAAATAGATTTTGCTTTTATTAAAACAAAAATGTTTTTAAAAGTATTTTATCTATGAATTAAACTCTTTAAAATAATTAAAAAATATATATTAAATTAATAGAGAATATTTTTAATTTAAATATATAATCTAAATATTAAAATATTTAGTTTAAAGGGAAATATATTTAATCTTAATATGAAAATATTTAACTTTAATTTAAAATATGTATATTTAATCGTAATATGAAAATATTTAATTTAAATATTATTTATTTATTTATTATTTGTTTTTTAAATGTGAAATATTTTTAAAGAATTTCTTTTTACTATGTCTTTAAATGCAAAACGTTGGAAAATTAAATAGATTTTGCTTTTATTCAAACATACATTTTTTTAAAGTATTTGATTTATGAATTATACTAAAATAATTATAAAATATATATTAAATTTATAGAAATATTTTTAATTTAAATATGAAAATATTTAATATAAATGGAAAATATATTTAATCGTAATATGAAAATATTTAATTTAAATATTATGTATTTATTTATTATTATTTTTTATTATTTTTTTTAAATTATTTTTTTACAATTTTAAAGTTTTTAAAACTAAAATTTATTATTTTAGAAAATATTAAAAATTGTAAATCCATGTTCCTCCTCTTACCCATGTATATTTTAATCATCTATGATACATATTTTTTTTTTGCCGTTTTAGGTAAGTTCCGTTTCTGGTCAAAGTCAAGCCCTCCTTCAACGAGCAGCACTCCGCACCCCACTTCTGGTAAGCCTTTTCTTTCAATCCCCCATTGTCAAGGACAAACATGAAACAGAGAACATAACAGAGAACATGCCAGAGGACATGAGAGCCATACGATGGTCTTGGGCCATAACCGACAGACAGCCGCGGCGGCAGTCAACAAACCCATTAATGTGCCCCATTTATAAGCAACTCCAAAATGCCCCTCATTCTCCCTCGCTCTCCCTCTCTGGCATTGAAAAAACTTTCATTATGACATTTTATTGTCCTGGCTGCCCCGCCATTTGTGTTGCGCCTGTGCCTGTGTGCCCGTGCCTCTTCTTGTGGCAAGACAGACATTGACTGGCTCTGGCAGTGCTGATGTTTCTGCCTGCCAGAAGGAGACAATGACAATGATGATGGCAAATGCTTGACGACCGCCAGACCGAAGCCATCATCGGAGAGAGGCAGGACAGGCAGGGGGGGACAGGCAGGACAGCCTCTGTGTGTGGCAATGTCAAATGCTCAGCTTTTCGTGGGCGGCGGTGGCAGGACATCAAAAACAACTAGAAAATGGTGTTCCTGTTGTTTTTCCAGTGAGCCGCCAAAAACACCAACAACTGGAAAAGTTTTTCCGGATCCCCTCCCCGCCCTATATCCCATATCCTCCACCCCTCTCTCTCTCTCTCTCTCTGTTTTGTTTGTGTTTGTGTCTCTCTGGTTTCTGGTTTCTCTGTTCTTTTTTGATGGCCTGACAATGGCGTTGATAATTATTATTAGTTTTATTTTATAGAACTTTCACAGTAGTTCGGGGAGTCGTCCATGTCTAATGCGACCTTTGAGAGAGATGGACAGACAGAGAGAGAGACAGAGAGAGGCCGGCCAAGGTACCTATGCTAATGGAAGAGACACACTACAATGTTTTTTGTGTGTTTTGTGCAATTTGTTTTTTATTTATTGTAGAACTTTGTCATTTCTCTTTGTTGGAGATTGACAAATGATTTTTGTTTTTTTTTTGTTTGTTTGCTGATTTTCGCTAATTAGATGAACATTTTGCACTCAAATGTTAAGTGAAAAGTTTTGAGAGGCAAAAAGAAAAGACAGAAAACGAAGGAGGAGAAATGTTTGGCAGAGAGACAGAAATAACAAAAAAAGAAGACTGCAAATTGTACAAATTTTAACCGAAAAAAAGGAAAAATCTGAAGAACGAAAAGGGAAGGAAAGGGGAGTGAAATGTTCTCCTTGACTCTCTTGAGATCAGGCTTTCTCCGGCTTTCAATTTCGCAAAAACTTTGCGATTTTACTTTTGAAAACGGGAAAATTGGTGCTCCCGCTTTCGTCTTGCGAAAGGAACAAAAATAAAAGTCATATTGAGGCACTAACATTTAAATGACGCCATTAGCAGGACTCTGCAGCTTGTGGCTGCTTTATAAGGAATACTTTTTGGTAAACCAACCTCAAATTTTGTTTTGAAATGCAGCAAAACTTTGCCCGATTTTGCCTGAGAAAACGTGTGAAAACGGGAGACCCTCAAAACGAAAATGGAAGGTTTTTGGGCGGAAAACTGAGTGCCTGTTCTGCCTGATTATTCATTAAGAACTCGAATGGCTTTCAATGTTCTTGGGTTTCCTTGGTGAACTTTTTGCCATTGTATGCCATATAGTGGCATAGGTTTTCCCCCTTAAGCGATTTCCTTCCCCCCCCCCCACACTCTCCCCACCCACCTGTGTTAATCGTTAACAATTCTAGAAGTTTTTCTTAAGCTTTTGCCAAGTTGTTTTCACAAAGCAAATTCAATGATCCCACAAAAAAAAAAAAACCAACAAATCTTCGCGGAGAAAGCAAGCTTTTCCGTAGCGACTTTCAACTTTGGCTTTTGAACCGTGTGGAAAGGAACTTTGCTTGTTATTCGAGGGAAAATGTAAGGAAAATTTATAAGAAAAAAAAAAACACAAAGTTTGTGCAAAAACCAAACGGGGAGAGTCTCTCTCTCTCTCTCGGTGAAAACTTCTCTATTTTCCCCTCTTTATTTCAATGTGAAAACTTCTCTATCTTTTAGGTGTGTGCGTGTGTGTGTGTGCATGTGTGTGTGTGTGTTTTCTTCTTAATTAAATAAAATGCAATTTAAAACCGTTGATTGTGCAATGCCCCACTCGAAAACGAAAATCCCCCTAACAACCTGAAAAACAACACCCATGGAACGAGCCATGGCAATGGCAGGGCAGCCATAAGGATGCAAGAAGCAGGGTAAGGGGCAGGGACAGAGGCAGGGACAGAGGCAGGGACAGGGACAGGGGCAGGAGCAGGGCCTGGGACAGGGACTGGTGTAGGAAGTGGTTTGGTATTTCCCTTTTGGAAACTCTCGAGCCGCTCTGCTCCGCTCACACATGAGCTGATTATGTGGCATGCCACACCGCCTACTTGCTACTCCTATTGCTGCAAGGCCCCCCACCTAACGCCCATTGAAAGACGCTCCTTCTCCGCCCCTGGATGCCCTGTAATCCCCCTGTAGTCACCCTCAATGCCCATTACTCTCTGCTTACACCCATTATTCCCCCCCTCCCCCCTGCTTCTCCCCCTCCCCCTCTTTCTAGCGAATGTCTTAAGCAACTTGCGCGGTCGTTTAACTTTTGCGACGGCGATTAAATTTCCAAGTTCTTGGACTCAGACTCAGACTTGGAGACGGGGAAGGCCTCCGCCTCCGCCTTCGCCTTCTTTCCTCTCTCTCTCTCGCTCATTCTTATCATGTGTTTACTACACTGTGAAAGAGGACGAACAAGTGTGGAAGAGGAGAACAGAAGTGGCATGTAAGTGGTGGCAGAAAGAGAGAGCGAGAGAGAGCGAAAGAGAGAGAAGAATCTTGATGAGGAATGAAACGAATAAAGAGCCCAAAAGAATGAATCAAGAAGAATGGCACATAAGCGCATTAATTGAATTGTAATTGCAGCCAGAGCTCTTTCTTCTCCCTCTCCCTCTCTCTCTCCCTATCTCTGTCTCTTTTACTCCTACCCGTGCTATAGCCATCTCTTTCTTCTCTTCTGTGAAGTGTTTGTCGCCGATTTGGAATTGAAATCAAGGCGGAATGAGAGTCGTCCTGCCACTCCAACTGGTTTACCCACACACACACACACACACACACACACACACACACACACACGTCATAGATACAGACACAGACACAGACACAGCTGCGTACCGCCTGAATTGGTACCCCTTAAGCCACCTTTTTCCTGCCAGAGGAACCCCCCCTGTTGGCCCCTTTCCTGTCAGTCTCTAAATTTATCCTCCGACTCCGACTGTGACTCCATCTCCATGGAAAATGGTGAGTTTTCCAAGCTGTGTGGCACCAGTGCGGTGCATGCCAGGCATTTGGCCAATGCAGTTGCTGATTTGTGATTTACAGGGTATACCATTTAAGGCGCGCCATGATGATTCTCTTGAAAAGTGCTAGAAAAATCAAATTTATTTCAAAATTTTCACAGTAGACACTTTTTGTGGATGAACCCAGAAAAGCCATTTTTTCTTTTTACTTAAAAAGAAGTTATATAAAATTATATATAAAAATATCTTTCATTGGTTCGGCTCTAAAATTCTTCATGTTTCACCATTTTCATGGGTCCTTAATGGGTTAACGGTTATATTCAATTTCTTGGCCACTAAAAATTAAGTAAAAAATAAGTATTATTGGAATATCTTTGATGGGTTCGGCTCTAAAACTCTTTAACTATCATGGGCTCTTAAGGGCTAAGGCGGATTAAGGGTTAAATTCAATTTCTTGGCTACTAAAAAATAAAAAAAATATAAAGTCCTTAGATGAATTTTTTGTTGCCAATTTTACAGAAAATATATTTTTTTTAAGTCTTAAGCTAAAAAACATTTAAAAAATTAAGAAAAATATATAAATTCTTTAGATTATTTTATGCCAATTTTACAGAAAATAAATTTAAATTTAATAAATAAATTCTTAAGCTAAGAGAAAACAATTTTTTTGAAAAAATAACCGTAAAAAAACTCAGTCTTTATGGGATTTTTCCAAACCATTATAAAAGTAGTTTTAATAATTACAGTATGCTTTCGTATATTGTTATTTGTGTTAATTGTTATTCTTATTAATTAGGTAAAAAAAAATACAAATAATAAATGAAAAATATAATTCTAGTGGTTTCCCTAGTTTTTTTTTTATTATTTTTTTTTTGTTGTAGGTTTATCTTTAATAATACATATTGTTGTTTGCTATTACTTTTGGAGCTTGATGATTAAAAAAAAAAATGTAAAAAAAAAACGTGTTATAAGGTCGAATAATTTGGAGATCCTCCTCCTTATTTTATCTATTCAGGTTTCTGGGGTAGAGGTCCTCTTAGATCATCCTGTTGGGCAGGTCGATTGGGTGTATTACGGCCAGCCTACTGGTTTCCCCAGTGAAATGCAATATTCTTAATGATAAAATACTTAAATAAAAAATCGATTTTATAGGGAAAAAAGAATGCAGGGAATGCACCCGTCTTTGAGTGAATGAAAAGCTCTTTCCTTGCCAAAAGAAATCTGCCACAAATCCCTGGGATTTCCCCTTGCCGTTCCCCCTTGCCTTTTCCATTCATTTAACAGGGTATCCCCAGGGTCTACATAAATCGAGTCTTTCCATTGGTGGGCAATCGGTGGCATTCCACAGCACTTGTTTTCTGTTCTGTTCTGTTCTGTTCTGCTGTTGTTCTCGCTCTTGTTGTGCCTCCCCTCGCCCCCTCTCTGTAGCCCTCTCTCGGTTGTTCTTTGGTTTGTTGTTTCTGTGTGTGTTTGTGTGTGGCATGCAACATTGGCTGTTTGGGTTGATGTGCCCACTGGCAGTCCAGCAGTCCATTCCCCCTCCCCTCCCCCCCGCCCCTGCCCATGCCCATGCCCCCCCTGGTCTGCAGTAACTGGCTTAAAGGACGCTGAAGGTGAACAACAAATGCAATGGAAACTGGTTTTCCGTCACTCTCTGCCCCTGCCTCTCCGCGTGGCAACAACATTGTTGCAGTTACATTCACTGATTAGAACGTGGCAGGTTA